TCCTGGAGGGAGAGGTTGTGCCGTTGGATGAAAGGTGCTGAAGGGTGCTTAAGGGAGATGGCGCGGGACCCTCGGGCTTAAAGAGGCACCCCAGGGTGCCCTTCCCCGCCTTGGCCGCCCACTCCACTCCGGCGCGGTGGGAGGGTCGCCTAGGAGCCACGGTGCGGGGTAAGTGGGGGGTCAGTCCTTCCGACAATCAGTACCCGGGAAAGAAGCTGTGAGGGCCCAGGAACGCGGAGGAGACGAGAGGAAGGGTTGTGGAGTGACAGCCCCCACCCCCGGCCGCGCGCCCGCCACACACCGCACCTGTCCATCCACCGCTGCTGTCCCCGCGGGGAGCTGCCCTCTGCCGGCCCGGTTCGCCCGGGCGGGGGTCTGCCGAGTGAGCTCTGGGTTGGGAGTTCTGTGGGGCGGGGGCCGCGGGGAGGGCCCCGTGGGGTAGGAGTCCGCAAGGCAGGAGTCGGGCACGGGTGCGCGGGGAGGGGTCTGCGGGCAGGGGCTCCCGGGCCCGCAGTCGCTCCCCGAGGCGCGGCAGGAGGGCGGAGGCGCGGGCGGGGACCCTCGGGCCGCTCCCGCCCCGCCCCCGCCCCCTCCTCCTCTCCCTCCGCCGCCGCGGAGCGTAGCCGCCGGAAAGTTTGCTAGAGGCTGGCGCGGGGCGCGGGCGCGGAGCCGGCGCCGACCCTGATCTGGCAGCGCCGTGGAGACGAGCGGCGGCCGGCCCCTAACCCGTGCGCGCGGAGGACTACGGGGATCGCGAAGCGGCCGGAGCGGCGCGCGGTGAGCACCTGGGCCAGGCTCGAGGACACGTTCCCGGCCGGGGGCCGAAGGCGGGAGTGCGGGACTGGCCGGCGTGGACCCCTGTCTTAGGTGGGCCGTCTCGGGCCCCGGGTGTCGCCGTCCTCATCCCCGTCGGACACCCCGTTCCCAACCCCAGGATGCGCCCTTCCAGCTCGGACGGTCAACCTGGTTCCGCACTATCGAGAAGGTTGGGGGTCTCAGCGCTTCCCCCGTCCTCTCCTCCCTGGGGAGCGCGTCTCGGGGGAAAGGGTGGGGTGTCTGTGAGCGCCAGGCGCGCTGTCCTGCTGCCCCTCTCCGCTCCCGACTCCTCCCTCCAGCACCCCCGCTTCCCCGCCCCCCCCGCCCCGCGCATACACAGAACCTCGGAGACACCCCCAGAGGCGCGGAGGGCAGCCCTGCTTCCCTCCAGCGGGCCCCTGCTACCCAAAGCTCTCCAGCAGTATCTTGGTTACCCGGGTTTCCCCGGAGGGGCCGAGGGGCGTCATCCGCGGAGCCTACACTTGTCACTGTGATCCGCAGGGAGGGCAGGTCACTGCCCTGCCTGCTCCTCCCTCTCCGGCGGCCCCCACTCACACTTCTGGGCCGCAGGATTTCTGCCCCCACCAGAAACGGACTGACTCCTGAGGTCTGGGCGCCCGCATACTCCGAGGACCTGTCCGGGCTGTTTTCGGCCCTTCTGTGCTGGGGGATGAGGGTTGGTGGGGGAGTAGCACCCTGGCCCACATCCAGGCCCGCCCTGCCCCCACATAGTGGGAGGAGGACGCAGGAATCAAGCTTTGTCAACAACCTGTGGCCCCTGATCCCGCCCTGGGGCCATGACCTTCCGCTACTTGCTCTGGTTTCACAAACACCCCCCACCCCCATACCCATCAGAGGCTGGCAGGCTTCAACCACACCTATTCAGACCCTGGGAGGAGCTGGGGTGACCAGCACCCCACTCTCCATGGAGATCCACCCAACCTGGGGGCCCCTCCCCCAGCTGCAGGTCTGGAAGTCCTGGGGCATCCCCAGGGGAAACTGGAGAAAAAGCTGAGCTTTGAGCACCCAGGAGTGGTGCGTTCTGCCAGGCGGGGAGACAGAACACCTGCCGGCCAGCCAGCCCGTGGTGGAGAGAGGGGGCTGGGAAAGAGAGGAGGGGGTGGGCTGGGGCCGGGGGAAAGCTGGCCCTCCTTCCCACTCCGCCAGAGTCTCTGATCCTGAGCTATCTGTGCTGGGCAGGTGCAGTCCAGGGCCAGAGAGGGAGCGAAGCCTCCAGGTCCATGGAGGGAGAAGGCTTGGTCCCTGGCCGGTAGTCCCCCGCCTCCACCGGCTCCTGTGCCGTGCCAGGAGGGTAATAAGGTGGAAAACAGCAGCCCTGACGCCAAGGCCAATGGGAGGCTTGGAGCGGCACCTCCGCATCCCAGTCTCAGTCCTCACTCATTCAACAAATATTTATCCCTGGGACTGGCAGGCTGCCTCTGGGGTTGCAGTGTCCCCCACGGAAGGGAGGGGGCCTGCACGTGATAATCTGTCCTTCCCTTCAAGTGGCAAATCTCATTGTCCTCCATGGTGTTGAGGAGGCAGGGACTTTTCAGGTAGGGAAACCGAGGCTCTGAGAAGTTGAATTATTTACCCTTGGTCCCAGGACCAGAACTGGGCCTTGCAATGTCACCCTCTCCTGTGGCGGCAGCCTCACACCTGGGTGCTCAGGGCAGGGACCTCAGAACCTCAGCCTTGCACAGCTGAAAGTCGTTCCACAGCCCCACACTCTGCCCAGTCCTCATTCAGGGAAGTGTCTAGATATCTTGCCCGTACTCCCCTGACAGGCATGGGAGCCTCATCCACTTCTGCCCCTTGTGTTTCTATCAGAGACTTAGTGAGAGGTATCATCCTCTGCCTCTTGTATTGGTTGGGGGGTGCTGAGGCCCTGATCCCTAGGGACGCGGAGCCACCGGTGCTCTGAGCTGGGGTACCAGCTTGTGATCTGTAGGTGCTGAACTGTGTGGGGTGAATCTTCAAGGATTCCCAACCCCACATACCAGACCAGGGATGGGAGTAGGGGTTATGGAAAGGCCTCCCTACTCCTCTGCTCTGGCTGCCATTGGAGGGGCAGTGAAGGAGGGGCCCCAGGGCAGCCCATCCCTCTCTCCCCTCTACCCCGGGGCTCAGCTTCTCTCTGTGGTTCCCAGACTAACTGACCCCTAGCTGCAAAGCAGGCTGCTTGGGTGTGGCCCCGCCTACCTTGGGTTTTCCTAATAGCCCTAGGAGGTCAGCAAGGTGAACTCCCACTTTTCAGATGGGAAAGTTGAGGTACAGCCTGGCCACCACACCCCAGCTGGACTCTGAGGGGCTGACATTTTGCCTTGGAGCTCCTCACTGGACTATCCCCGCAGCTTCATCCTCCCTTCACCACTGGCTGCAGGGCCCCTGGGCAGAGGGCAGTATCCTTCCTCCCCATGTTCCCTGCCTGCATCTCCACTGTCTACTCCACCCCAGCCATCCCTTGTCACTCTCCCCTTGCCCTGCCCCCAGAGCCTCTAGCCATCCAGGCTGCCCCTGTCTCCCTGAGCCTTCCCAGCCACCTCCCCTCCTCCAGCAGCTGGTCACAGTGGTCCTCACCCACCTGGCTCCGTGGCCTCGGTGGGCAAGGGCAGGGCAGAAGACCGGGCTGTTTGATAAGAATCAGGAGATAAGGCCCCTCGGGCTGGGGACACCTGAACTGCCCCTTGTCCTCCACCCACCTGGGGGCTACTCCCATGAGAAGGCCCGCCGCTCTGGCTCCTCCACCTGGACCAGGGCCTGGAGACCAGCGACTACTGGGCCCTGCCTCACCAGGCCTGACCTGCGCTGTGGCCCAAGGGCCAGGATGAGGAGCCCCACAGCAGGCTATGGTCTAGGTGCCCACCCCATGTGGTGGCATCTCAGGGTCCCGTTAGGGGTGAGGAGTGAATCACGGAGGAGCCCACGTGAGTTGGCCCCATGAGGGCCCATCTGGACTCTGATGGGAGGCGGCTGAGATCCAGGGTTGTCCAGCAACCCTCCACCTTCAGTCACAGCCTGCATCCCTCCTCCCCACCTTCTCCCTGGCTTCTCCCAGGCACTGCCTTCCAGCCAGGCAGTTCCGTCCATCTGTCCATCCATTGGTCCATCACACGCTCACTCTGTGGCAGGGTGCCATCCACAGCCCTAAGGGGTCTTGCATGAGTAGTTCCTAGGTGCCCCACCCCTAGGCCCCAAAGGAAGCCCCTTCCTACTGCCCTTGTGGAATTCAGTGGCTCAGAAGACGGACTGTGGAAGCAGTGACACGATGACTTACGGGGCTGCCGATGCCCCCAGTGCAGGCTCCGGACAGGACCAGGCACCTCAGGTCCCCCCTGCAGGCACCACGAGGGCAGGGGTCCTGTGTCTGAGCCCCCGGCAGCTGGCAGCGCTAATCTCAAAGGAATGCGCTGCAGCTGCCTGCGTGCTATGGCCCATGGGACCCAGGAGGCCCAGCCGGAGTCTTGGGCGTGGCCCAAGGGAGCACCTAGACACCCCAGTCCTGGGCAAGGGGGCATGGATGTGACAGGGACCACCCTAAGCTTATGCTTGGCACTCCTGGCCCCTGCCAAGTCTGGGAGCTGGCCCAGGGTCCCCTTGATAACCATGCCCCTGGGGACCAAGTGATGGATGGTCCTGGTACCCTGCCCCAGCCTGCCATGCTGACTTTCCCAGGAGCTAAGAATAGGTGGGAAAAATAGCGAGAGCCGAAGGGAGGAGTTGGGCAGCTAGGGAGGCTGCTCCCTCCTCTGACATCTTTGGTACCAGGCAGGACTGGGGCCGCTTAACCAACATGTGGGAGAGGGGCTCTGGGACTGTCAGAGCCGCCACACAGACAGCCACGGTCTGTGAGATGGAGCAGCCCCCAGGACCCTGGGCAGAACCCCCAGGCGCAGGGCCAGACCCCCAACCTGCCACTGGCAGAGTGACCATTTCTGGCATCCCCTCCCTCCCAGCTCCCACTTCATTAGTAGGATTCGGAGACTCAGAGGGATGGTTTTAGGGGAGCAGGACACCCTGCTGATCACAACGGAGACCAGCTGGGTCTCTTCACTCCTGGGTGTCCCTGCACAGACCCTGCTGCTCTGATACTCAGCAGCCCCCAGGGGAGAGTGCACCTACGAGGACCTCTTTGCCCCAGCTGTGCAACCCCAGCCAGATGTGGGGGGCAGCTGCCCAGAGGCATGCCCCCCATCCTGCCACGCTGCCCCCACCTCCTCCTGCTTCTGCTGCTGGCCTGCCAGGTGAGCGCTGCTGTCAGTCCCCCCGTCCCACCAGCCTGCCTGCCCCTCATGCTGACGCCAGTCTGTCCCCTCTGTCCATCCATCTGTCCCCCCAGCCACAGGCCCCCTCCGCTCAGGTGATGGACTTCCTGTTTGAGAAGTGGAAGCTCTATGGCGACCAGTGTCTCCACAACCTGAGTCTGCTGCCCCCCCCAACTGGTGAGCCCCGCCTTCGGCCCGAGTGCAGTCCCCCCACCCCCCACCCACCATTTACAGGTGAGGAAATTGAGCCATAGAGAAGCTGGTGACTAGCCCAGGGCCTCAGACCAGGACATTTAAGAAATGGTACAACTGCCCCAGAACTGGGGTGTTTCGTGCCCCTCCCCTGCTGCTGGGCAACCCTCAGGCCCAGGGCCTGCACACCGTCTTTCCTCCCACGGAGCAAAGCCTCGTGGCCCAGGAGGCAGACAATGTGTGGGGAAGGTGGACCGAGAGGGGCAGGCAGAGGGCACCAGGGCTGGTGAGGGGGAAGGAGATGGGCCATTATCTGGAGTGCTCAGGCAGACTGGGGTACAGCGTTCTGGACAAGTTCTGAAGATCACTCAGGTGCAAAGAGAGACACTGGGGCGGGAGGAGCTGCCTGGGAGGCCGAGCCATTGTTTGGGGGAGGGAGGGGGCCGGTGCTGGGCCCAGAAGGATGCCAACAGAATTAGGGTTCAGCCTCCAGAGATGGAAGTGCTGCTAGAAGGGCACTAGGAAGAGGGAAGACCCTGGGTGGAGATGCGGAGTAACTGAGGGGAGGTGGCCGGGCAGAGCTGGAGCTCAGGACCAGGCTGGACAGAGGCGTCCAGGGCAGGCAGGACGGTCAGGGAGACCTGGGAGGCTGCCTCCTGGGGCGCAGAGAGCGTACAACAGGGGGCTGTGCGGGCCAGGCCCTACTGAGGAGCAACCCTGTCCCCGCCTCTGCAGAGCTGGTCTGTAATAGAACCTTTGACAAATATTCCTGCTT